CACCTCAGACTGAGGAAGTCTCTTGGATGAGAGACGAAACGTTTCTATAAATTTTTTTTTGCTTTGTTTTGCTTTTTTTTTTTTTTTGAATGTCCAGAGGACCAGATTGAACTTTTTTGGATTTTTCTACCTGGATTATTGAGCATGCATCAAGATACTCAGATTAAACTTTTGATCTGTCATCCATGTTATATTATGAATAAAATATTGACATTTGCCATGTCCTCATCATTGCATTCAGTTTTTATTCACAATTTGTTTAGTGTCCCAACTTCTTTGGAATCCAGTTTTTAATTTTGAATGCTAGGAAACACCTTGTAGCTGCAACTTTCTTCCCCTCCATTGACTATGGTAACATTATTTACATGAACGCTCCTACAAGAACCCTGCAGATGTTGGATGCTGTCTATCATGGTGCACTAAGATTCATAACTGGTTGTAACTGTCGTACCCACCACTGCACCCTGTATCCACTGGTTAACTGGACATCACTAACTTCACGTAAACTTTTTCACTGGTACATTTTCATCTTTAAGTCACTTCCTGGTCTGTTGCCTTCATGCATCTCCTCCTACATGTCACTACGTGAGTGCAGCTACAGCGTGTACTCTCAAGATATCGTTACCTGCAGCATTCCCTCAGTGAGGACTGAACTTGGCAAAAAGGGCCTTCTCGTGCTCCGCTCCTGAACACCTTGCAAAAAGATCTGAAGCTCTCGACTTTGACCTCTCTAAGGGATTTTAAACAATTGCTAAGTTCATGGCAAAAATCAATGCAGACATGTTCCTCATCCATCAGTCAGCCAATTGTATGTCATGACCAATCTTATTTTGAAAAACCGCGATAGAGCGAGTCCCTGAAAACGAATCGGAAGTAGCGAGGGACTACTGTACGCACATACATGGTGATGCCCCGTGATAATTTTGGCTCTGCGATGCTCATTTAAATGTTTCAATTAAAAAGAAAAGCTTGTGACCTCTAAGATACACGTCAAAATCTTCTATTAAAAAAACAAAAAACCTGTAATAGCAAGCATTGTCAATGGCATCAAAAACGGGCATGAACATGGCACGTTTTTTATGTGCCATATGATTTTTTTAATTTTTTTTAATTTTGTGTATTCACTGTCATTAGCAATAAAAATGTTGTAAAATGGCATTAACAGCATTAAATTTGATTAAGTGATTTCTGCAGAAACCCTGTTTAACCTCGACTCTTAAGGCGTTTGTGGAAGCCCGGTTGATTTTGTTGACATATTTTGTTCATCTCTTTCAGAGCTGGAGTGGAGGTTATCAGAAGCCGGGGCGGTGAAGACTGACCTGGAAGAAAACCCTAAGAAGCAAATTGAAGATAAGCTAATGTCGTCAATCAGAAGCTCCCTTCCTACCCGACAGGACAGTGACTCTGAGGACGATTAAACCAAAATGAACAAAACACCCTTCACAGTCAGTGAGAGCACTTGGCTGCTACGTGGAAATGTTCAGAAGACCTTAAAGCAGCTGAGCAGGGACAGAGGGAGGACGGCCTCTTGTTCATCATCCCATATGTTTCATACTTTAAACATATGTGCAGAGCTCTGTCCTGCTCAAAGGCACGTAGGCAGGCTGCTGGAGTAGAGAGAATCAAACCGTATGAAGCGTTGAACTCCTCAGCCTTCAACTCCAAAGGCACTCTTATAATTTGAAATAAACATTATTTGACCTTATAATAAACCAATTAAAGATGCATTTTGACTTTTTATTAAAGGATAATTAAATCACAGAAATGTACATTTAATTCAGTCTTAATTAAATGTGAGTTCATCTCTTTGCCACAAACTTCAAATGGTCTTATTTAATGAACAAAGTGATCACAACAGATTCACGCAGAAGGGTTTTTATTTTTAAATAACGTGTCAGTCTTGTTTTGCAGAGCAGCACGCCAGATTTCCTCTGGGTAATGGGTCTCATTCAGTTACCACAATTAAGACACAGCTTTCACAGCAATGCAGGTCTTTTTATCCTTAGATGTAATTTATTTTCTATTAACAATAAAAATTGTTTCTGCAGGAGCGACGAGCCTGGGATGCTGCGTGTCATTCAGTCCAGAGGCAGAGCTGCCAGCTTCTCGTCCTTAAAGCTGTAATTTTCTTGTTTTTGTCAGACTTTCTTTTTACAACATCCCCTCTGGCAGATCTCGAATTTTCTGTTTCATTAGCAAGAAAGAGACAGAGAGCGAAGCGTCAGTGAGAGCAGTCGATGGACACTCAACAGTGATGAAGTTTAAGGAGGTTAATTTGGGCTCGCCCACTACCGGTACTTTACCTGAAAAGGTTAAGTCTTTGCAGGGAGAAACGGTAAAAAACAAACTATTTTAGTGCCTGGTTTTCTGCTTCGACAAGTCTGGAGGATAATTGATGAAGGATATTGATAAGCAGTGACGTAAAACTGCTTTAGTTTTTGCTCAGATAAAAAAAAAATACACAGAATTTAAAAAGTGATTACATAAATGCATATTTTTCTTGCTTAGATTTGTTTGGAATAAAACTGGTTACTTCAGGACTGGTCCTCCTGTTTTAGTTTTATTTTTTTTAACGCTACATATTTAAAAAAAATTATTGGTCAGATATTTAAAAATAAAAAAAAAACATTTCAAACATTTTTTTAAAGACTCACTTCTGCCGACTTGACAGTTATTGAAATGAGAGTTGTTTAGGGTTTAAAAGATTAAAGGCATAATTCAGAGTTTAAGAGAACTCTGTAGAAAGATTATGAATAAATATCTTACTTGTTGTGGATGACTAGTTTCAGTTTGGGGAACTAGTTTTATTCTAACCAGACTGGTTAACGACTAGTTAGAACTTGTACAAGACCAAAGTGGAACGCTGCCGTCTTTAAACAACTCCAATCTCCAAAGTTTTGTAGCTCCATTATTTTACACTACAGTATGTTGTTATTTATAGAATTCCTGTGCAAATAGTGACGGTAAGAGCTGACTAGCACTTCTGGTGCAGCCTGGGTCACTTGTAGTAGGAAATGCATCATGTTTCTGCCAGAATAATCTTGTAATGCGAAAATAACAGATGTAAAGATTTATAAATGACCATTTACATGTTCCAGAATAAAATTCGTTGAAATGGTTGTAAACTACTGTAGTTTGGACCATCCGTATATTTTCATAAGTAAACGAGCGTAAAGTGGAAGCTCCTATAGGCGGGTTGTGGTGGAACGTTAGGTTCTAGCAATCAAGCAGGACATTTGCCTGTCTGAAAAAACTTAAAAAACATTTTGCCATTATTCACTAGATGTTAACTTTCATTAATTATTGTAGTTTTTACCTCAGTGCTTTTGTGTTTGCATATTAATTTTTATACACCTGTTGAAATGCGGACATATGATGATATAGTCTCCGTCTGTATGTCCGTAAATATTCTCTTACCCCGCCCATAAGGTCTGATCCTCCCAAAGTAATTTAACGAAACTTCATACACATACAGTATGTATCATTACTAGATAGTGTTGTGTGCACTTTCCATCATGCCAGCTTCAAGATCAAGATCACATATCAAGGTCAATTTTAAAACAAGGCCTTTGCTTGTCTGGTCCATTGCTATAGGTTGCTGTATGAGCTTGTAATGTGCCATATGCAGTAGTACTCTTGTTCTACCATGGTGAGCAACAAGTTACTCTATCTGATGCCTAGAAATACCACGAGAGAGTGCGTGGGGAAGTAGGCGGGGCTTAGAGCCCCACATGCTATCTGTTCAGACCTCATCCTGTCGGCTTAAATGTTGTACGATGAAAAGGGGTGGACACTTAGTCCATCTTTTTATGTCCATGGTTCAATTAGCTGTTAGCTCGTCAATCCAGCCATACATATATTTAAACTCTGTTTCTACAAACTAAGTCAGTACAGTTTTATAATGGGTCCACTTCAAAATTCAGCAGCATATCAGAAAAGTTGTCACGTGTCTGCAGTGATGCTTGTTCTTTGAATTATCCAGCTCCTTCTACGCACCAACATTAATGTGTGGTTTTTTGGTTGTATTCAGTCTCCAGTAACACACAGTACAGTACACTTGTAGAGCTGACGTGTTCGTTTCCTCACCAGAAGCAGCACCTTCTTCTTTCTCCTCTGGGATAATTTGGGGGAAAGTCGCATCAGAGGGTGAACCAAGTGAGACTGAATGAAAAAGAGAAAAGTTACTTCATTATTCTGACTTGTTTTAGTTTGAGTTGAAACATGGATGAGAAAACATGACCACTCGTGTGCAGCTTAAAAATGCAAATATACTAATAATGATCACATTTCATCAGCATGAAGTTTTACGTTTTCGCTTCCTGCCCAGTCTTTCTATTTAAAATGCTTAAATGTAGTGTGAGACCTAGTTAAATAAAGTTAAAGCATTACAGCTGCTGAAAACCTATGGATTTGACAGGAAGTACAGTAGTCCCTCGCTACTTCGCGGTTCGTTTATCGCAGACTCACTCTATCATGGTTTTTCAAAATAAGAGTGGACATGACACACAATTGGCTTATTGATGGATGAGAGCTGCACGATAGGGTCCCGTCTTTGCAGGTGGCTGACTGAGAGGAGGCGGACAGCTAAAATCATGACATTCTGTGTTCTTTTAGAGTGTTTAGAGTTTAGAAACATTGTTTAGAATAATGCAAGAGTGTGGGAAAGGTTTAAAATGCCTTTATATATATATATAT